GTCCCCCTTCCCCCGCAATGATGGAGCCAAGATAAGACCCTGATCCTCAGACCCCCTAAGACCAAGCACTCAAGTAGCCCTCCCTATGGCCCTATCCAGCATACTACAACCATGGATCTAAACCCCTTGGGTGGTGCGCAGCAGTGTCTGTACAAATCTTACCATGGGTCGTCCCAAGTGGTGTGTGTGAATGACTTGTGCTCTATGAAAGCGCTTCCCGGTGTACGTGCGCGAGGCAACAGAGTTTTGAACCTGCAATCTGATACCCAATGTGCACTTCCAACCGGTGAATCACTGAGCCAATGGCCATCCACCCTTTCGATGTTCTTTCACACTTCTTTTTATTTTTTTGATGGATAACTCATTGTATATCATACCAGGCAGAAAGGTCGCATCCTGCTGACCCACAGCCGAAGCTTGTGCACTAGAGCCTCAAGGCATGTAGCAACCTACACGCGTCATCCTTGAATCACTTGTTGCCGATGAGTGTTTGTGAACTGTGCGTCACGGGTGTAAAACATGGTTCATAAATTTCATGTGTGCGGGTGATATAACCTCTGTGCCCCTTCGAGGCCTGTTCTTGTCGGGTTCGGTATAGGGGGACATGATCTGTGGGATCGTACTATGATGTGTGGGCCCAAGTTTGTGAAGATGATGTGTGGGCCTGAGTTTGTCAAAATTTGGCCGGCGATGGTTGTGATGGAATTTGCTGAAGAGCTGGTCATTGTGGATCAGTGGTTGTGATGGAATTTGCTGAAGAGGTTTGCGGAATGTCATCGAATCAAATATAACTTCATGTGTGCAGGTCACTGATCACAGTTTTGGCAAATTGCAGAGGAGAAGTATGTTCTGAACTGCTTAATTCAGATTATACCTTGGAGAATGGTGTTGTGGACTTCTTTTTTTTGCAAATCCGGCCTTCAATAGACCATGTCCAATGAATCACCGACGTCAGAGAGTAGAGCATGAGATCAAGCAAATCCATCAGTATGTGTAGCCTTTCGTACAATGTATCAGCGATTTCTCTATCCGGTGCCTCTCTTCTAGCTTAGCATGTTATTAGCAGCTATAAGCGAGTTGGAGTAGACAGACTCTGGACCTGTTGGAAAAAAAACGAGTCTGACGCAGCTGTTTGCAGGTCTTTAGTGCTTTGTAACTGGTTGGCCGAGTAAACCCCCGTTTTTGATGTCTCACTAAAGATGCAGCTCTCTGGGTCGCTCCTTACGACAATTCAGTCTTATTGGATGGAAACTGCAGCTCTCTGGGGCTCTCCTTACGACAATTCTCATAGACAAAGGCACAGTCTTTAGGCCTTGCATTGGAGGGTTGTTGTGATGGAGATGTCCAGAGAGTGTCGACGAGGTTGGCTCGAGAAGCTGCTGTGCTCAGAAATGGGCTCACCACTTTTCAGTCAGGTCAATCTCCATATGACAGCTTCCGACAGAGATGATACACATTCTGCAGTCCTGACAGGTTTGGCTATGCTCGCAATGCGCAGCGAGGAGTATGGTGGACTGTACATGACGTTCTGTTATCCCTAGAGTAGGGTCTTCCTTCTGACTACAAATCCCTGTGATCTTGAACATTGTGCTGATTTCAAGGCTTTTTGAGGTAGTCAGGGATGCAGACGCTCCAGCTATTTTTTGTTATAGAATGGAATGTACGCTGATCTCGAATGTTTCACTTGTCAAGGCTTTTGAGGTGGTCGGGGACGCAGATGGTCCAGCTTGTCTCCATTATAGAAAATGGAATGTACTCTGTCAATAATTGGTGACCTCAACGATTCTTTTGCAAATCAGGTCTTTCAGAGGGTTTTGGTTGGAGAGGGAGCAGTTGGCATTGGGAATGTAGAACGAGTTTGCCCTGGAGCAGATGGCATTGGGAATGTGTATACTTCTTGGAATGAGTGCAAAGGGCTGGATGTCCTGCACTTCGGAAAACTACGCCTGTGTACAGGCTTTTGCATCCCACCACTCTTTTTTCTTTTTTTGACCACTTGCTTACTGTTCAGCAGGCTTGTCCTCCCCCCCTTGTTCAATGTGAATGGAAGCTGCAGACCTCTTCGGCACCTGTCCTCTTCGTGTTCCTCTCCTCAGCTTTTGGTTGAAGGAGCACGAGGTGTGGGTGGGATGGTTGCCCCAGGGATGATGGGCCGGTTTATGGAATCGAGGCTTTCCCATGTACGGCAGTCTGCAGATGAGAGCGTCTGAAAAAGATGATGACATATTGTCAGTCCCTGTCAGGTTTTGCAATGCTCGCAGCAAGGAGTAAGGTGACTGTACAGACACTCTTTCCATCAATTGTGGTATTGTTCTTGTACAAGCAATGATGAGTGTGGTGTTCTTTACGCCTCTGAGCTGGTTGATTGAGTACAATCAATTCCCGCTTGACCAGTAACTGGATTGCACACAAGCTTGCGGTCGGTCTACCATCTTCCCCTGAATCGAGCGTATGGTCCTTGTGGCTGTATCTAGACTGAAAGTTGCACAAAATGCACAGCTATAGTGACTGTACGTCAGGTTCGGGGGATGGGTATCATCTCGATCGATGCTGCCACGGTTGCCTCAGGAGATGTTGGCTCACATAGGGATTGAATCTCCAATGACTGGTAACTGGGTAAAGGATGTCGACACGTTTTTGTAGCCTATTCTGTGTGTACATTAGATGTATATGGTTTGTTAGCTGATTTGCCCAGTATTACTGTGTTTGTTCAGAATGCTCTGCCAATTTGGAGCGGTGAAATAGAATGGAAGCTGCAGTCCCTCTTCGTGGCCTTCAGGTTTCAACTGGAGTAGCAGTAGGAGGATGTGTGGAGTGGGGCCCTCCAACAGAGGGCCGTGTGATTGCTCTGGTCATGGTAGGGCAATCTGCAAATAACAGCTTCCGAGAGGAATGATGCGGATTCCAAAGTCCTGTCAGGTTTTGCTATGCTCGCAGTGCAGAGCAAGGAGTATGGTGGGCTGTACATGCTGTTGCGCTTTTCTGCGCCTTGATGTTACTCCTAACACGACTGTCCGTGTTGGTTTGCTAGTCAATTTGCATTACTACTGTGTTCAGGGTTGTCGAGCCCCGGCCCCGGGGCCCCGGCGGGGGTCCGGAGGTGGGCAACCCC